TCTTTTCAAAAAATTAAAATTTCATATGTTGTTTCAAAAAATATTGCAATTTAAATATAAGGAGAATTTAATTTCAATTAAAAAAAATAATATAGTTGTTTCCAAAGTGGCAACTTTATTTTTTTAACATTTAATGATGTATAAAAAAAATTAGTATAAAATTCTTTTAGAATTCTATAGACCCTTGTACCTGTTGCATGTAGTTGACATTTATCTTACATACCCACCCCTCTTTATCCTGAAATACCCACTGAAAATGATGTTCAATACTATGCACGTCATTCCGCTTATGTAAGTATTATTTGGTCTGTCTGTGACAGTTTCATTCAAGCTTCATTAATTTTCATTTTAATAAACAGGTAGTCACATTAGAGGTAAATAATATCTCTGTATTACAACTAAATAAAAACTTAAATATTTTTTAATAGTAATTTTTCTCATATTAAAACACGTTCTTTTTGACATTTTTTGAAATTGAAAATACCAGTAATAAAAAACTCAAATTAATTAAAATATTTGGACCGTTTATTACTGTGTAAAAAAAACTTAAAGTTTTAATAACGTCCACAAAAGTTACAGGCCCGTAGCTAGGAACAATTTTTAGTTAGGGCGCCCAAAATTTTTAGTAGGGTCAGATTTGTTTTTGAGTTGTGACGTCATTTTTATTTTTTTTAATGACAACTAACATTTTTGTTCACTGTTTTAAATAGCACACATCTTTATCTTTCTGATAATAAGTAAAAAAATTTTAAAAATGAAATTAAAACTTAAAAAAAAATTGACAATTAAACACAAAAGACTTTATCTTTTTGTTCTTGCCTTATTTTATTGTATACTTTTATAAATAATTAGCATGAAAACACTTAATATGAAACCTAAACACAAAAAAAATTAAAACAAAAAACAATTACTCCTTATAAAATGAAGCAAGAATAACACAATAAAGCTGTTTGTATAAAAGCTTCCATAAATTTGTAGTAAGTTTTTTTTTGCATTTTTTTAATTTATTTTTTTAAATTTCTTATGTTTACCAAATAGATAACACTGTGTATTATCTGAAACAGTAATAAAAAATGTCGGTTGACAATAAAAAAAAAAATTTGGTTCAATTTGTACATATTATAACTTTTTGCGTTATTTTCTCTAAAAAAAGTTGTCAAAAAACCAAAGTTTTAAAGTAGGTCTCCAAATATTTAAATTCGTGGTCCCCCCCTAGCTATAAACAATTAATATGAAACCTAAACACAAAAAAATAAAAACAAAAAACAATTACTCCTTACAAAATGAAGCAAGAATAACAAGATGAAGCTGTTTGTATAAAAGTTTCAATAACTTTTTTAATTTTTTTTGCATTTTTTTACTTTATTTTTTGAATTTCTTATGCTTACCAAAAAGATAACACTGTGTATTATCTAAAACAGTAATAAAAATAAAAA